TCCACGGCCTTGGAGGATGGAGGGGGTCCACGGCCTTGGAGGATGGAGGGGGTCCACGGCCTTGGAGGATGGAGGGGGTCCACGGCCTTGGAGGATGGAGGGGGTCCACGGCCTTGGAGGATGGAGGGGGTCCATGGCATTGGAGGGGGTCCACGGCCTTGGAGGATGGAGGGGGTCCACAACATGTTTCCCCCCAAAAAGCTGATTAGTTACAGGCACTGTTCTCTCAACAATTTGCAGTCTGGTTCCTTTAATAAAAGTCAATTGACAAAAGAACTTTGGTCAAACAGAACTGTGCTAGCAGGGCCACGCACAATTCAACCAGTGTATGATCAACTTGAAGCAGAACTTGGGGGGGGGTGTACTCCTACCCCTACCCCTGCACTGCAATAGCTAAGTGCTTGTTTTGTCCAGGGAGCTCAAATAAAGCTGTACAACTCACCTGATCTCCGCTCCTGCGTCATTCTGCGCTTACTAATGCTCCCCTCTGTTCCAGATGTTGGAATGTTCTTCAGCCTCCTCATGTCTAATGCAGGTCAATGGACCTGCCTTGGATATGATGACGTCAGCGGTCCTTAGACTGCGAGGGTACGTTTTCTGTTTTCCTAGGCTTTAAAACAAGCAACAACAAAGCAAAAACCTTATGACTTGAGGTATAGTACATTGTTGTGTCTGTACTCCTTTCGGTTTATTATTACCTGGGAGTTTCAGTTCCTGTTCACTTCTCATTTGTTTAGTAGGATGAATGTGTGGATTGTAGTACTTCTTCTTTTCGTCCTGTGATACTAATGTTTGATCCCAGAGTCCTCCTTTGTGGTAAAACAACGTGACATTACAATAATGCAGAATATATATTTAAAGGAGAAGTATGGGGTCAGTGTTTTTCCCCATAGTTCTCCTTAGGGTAACGGGAGAACACAAACTAGCGTCCTCCCGTTACCCTAAGCTCAGTATTCCGCAAGCTACAGCTCGCGGTATACTGAGACGCCGCAGCTGAAGCGGATACCGACGTAGATGACGGGATCTGCCCAGCTGCGTGAGTGACAGCTGGCTCTGCCTATCTAGAAGCAGAGCCAGCTGTACCCGCCCCCTCCCCCGTCCGTTCCACCAGTCAGCGCTGGCAGATCGGAGAGGGGAATCCAGCCCCTCCCCCTGTCACGGCAGAGAGCTGTGACAGGATCGAGAGGTGAGAGAACGCCGGTATGTGTTCGCTCACCTCCCGATCTACTGAGCCGACCTGTGACAGTCTCATTGTCACAGGTCGGCTAGAACTATGAGGTGAGTGAAAAGCACTCACCTCATAGTTCTCCTTTTAACAAGACAAGCGCACATGAAATGCCAAGTGATCTAATCTGGAAAGGGTTAAAGTGTGACCTGAGCCATGAATAAGTGATACATTGTGTGTGCCCTTCAGACACATCATTCAGAGACAGCCACTTCAGGAACATTGACATCACTTACTGACTTAGCCAGGCGTTACCAAGCATGACCAGTACTGTTTTAAAGGATAGTTTCCTTGTATGCAGCTAATTAAAGATGAACTACGGCTAAATAATAAAAGCCACACTACAATCATTAAACTTATTTTCCATGCAGTTGGCAAAAAAAGACCAGAATCTATCTTTGTTAGCCTGCTGCAAATTAGCAGTCAGTCTGGGAGAGGAGAAAGTAGAGTGGTGGTCTCACATGTTTGCTGCTTCCTTGTCATTGTCCAGTTACAGGATGGGATAGCTCCCAGTTTAGGCTGTATTCACTTGCAGCGTACTCTGCTCAGCAGGCCTCCGGTATAGCATTAGGAATAGCGCTGCAACTAATGATTATTTTTACTATCGATTCGTTGGTTGATATTTTTTTTCGATTTATTCACATAAAAAAATTAAATACCACCATTAATTTTAAAATAAAATACACACATGCAGTGTTACAAACCTAAAGTTTGCTTCGGAATACTGTGGTACTGTGCGTTCCAGTGTGGGCGATTACATTGTGGGTGGGAGGCCCATTTGGGGTCCGTTGACATACATGGCACTGCAACGCACCTCCCACAGCAGAATTTGTCACACCGAAACCGACTTTTTATTTATATATCTATCTATCTAGATATATATATATATATAATACATACATACATACACATTTTTTGTTTTAATTATTGTAATGTAAGCACATGGCGCTTGCATAGCTTCAGCCAGGGAATGACAGCTGCCAGTGGAAAGATTCCGCAGACAGCAGCTGAATGTGAATACAGCAGGTATTGGGCTGGTGCAAAAGCCAGCCTGCTATTGGCCAGTTTAAATTGCAATAGCCAATAGCATACTGGCTATTGCACCCGCCCACTGCTTGCTGTGCCCTCCTCCCTGCGTGGAGGAGAGAGCTAGGGGATCCAACCAACTAATCCATAATGAGAAAAGTTGCTTGCAGCCCCAATGTTAAGTCGGGTATACATAGTACAAATTTTGTCCGCTTTCGCCTGAATTCGCACAGTGGTTGCTGCTGTCAGTAGACTTCTGACCATCCCTTTGATCAGCTGATCAAAGGAGCAGGTTAGAAAATTCTTGGCCTGGCAGGGCTTGCAGCCAATC